CCAGGCAGTTCAAACAGCGAAAACATCCTCCTTTTATAGAAATTTCAACCAATTTCTACCCATGCACCGGACCCCACAGGGGTGAACTTATTAACCACTGGGAATCATCATGGAGGAATTCCTGATGAAAGCAGGAGCTTACCTGGAACAAGCTGAAGTTATACAGATCACAGATGAACAAGCTGCAGCTATATTGTGGCCTCAGATGGACGCTGACTTACCAGCATCATCAGATGCAAAAGATATTCTCCGTGAGTTACAAAAACTTAAACAGAAAGAAATAGATCTTGAACCGCATGCAATCTATTTATCAGACTACTACCGTATGAAGAAAATCCCTAGAGGCTTTAGAATTAAGAATGTTCCCACTAATGGTAGAAATAATCCAGAAGTCTGTCGCAAGTGGATTGGTGTATTAAACAAATGTTCCTTGGATCTCATGCTGGTAGTCATTGAGGAAGTGGGCAGAGAACTGAAAATCACTAAATATAAGATATCTGACTTTGAACTTAAAAACACAGCGTGATTACTACAGCTAATTGTGATGCACTTATTAACAAACTGTCAGAGGATTTGAAACAATATAAGAACGATTTCAAGTTTCAAATGTCAAAAATTGGACAAAGTGAATGAAGATTATACTGATCACACGGTATACAAATGGCTTGTGGGAGAAAGTACATGACCCTATACAAGACCTTACAGACCCAGAATAAGGAAACCACTGGCATCCACTGTAGATTATACTTCAGGAGAATCAGCGTCTGAAACAGAGCATACTAGCCAACGCCCGGAAAGCACTCATCAAAGAACTGAAACAAGCAAGAGAAACAATGTAGTATTTTTAGAGCCAGGCCTGGGCCTTACCAAGGAATACCTGAAACCACATTGTTATCAAAAGGACTGTCATTATTCCCACCACTGATATTAATGACTTTGAATGGGAAGTCGATCAATATAGATTCCAGCGTAAACTAAGACTGGCTGACTTCTTTAAATCTCGTCCAGAGAATGTTGTAAATAAACAGCAAGAAACTATGAAATTATATAGTTTATTTGATCCACCGAGTAATAACGCTTCCCTAAAGGTCTTCTCACAGAGCCTAAGATCTGAAAGCAGACGTTACCTCAATAAGACCAAAAAAGGTGCCAATATTTCCAAAATTGAAAGGGATGTCCTTAACAACTTGGCTGCAGATACTACCATCACTATTCGTCCAGTGGACAAATGTGGGGCTATTGTCGTGACTATATCAAGACTATAGAAATTAGATTTTAAGACAACTTTCAGATGATAAAGTGTACAAATGCTCTGAAATAGATCCAGCCGTGGAATTTGGGAAAACTATTTTTGCAACACTACAGAGAGGGGTAGAAAACCACTATATAACACAACAAGAATTTGAGTACTTACATGAAACTCACCCCAGGTGTCCAAAAGTGCATAAGGAGCCCATTCACCCCTCGGGACGACCTATAGTCTCAGCAATTGGTGGTTTATTGGAGCCCATCGGTAAATGGCTAGACAAGATATTTAAAACTCCAGTGTTGTCTTTGCCTACCTGTGTCAAAGACAGTGTAGCTGTTATTGAATATCTTAACAACATCACAGTACCGGCAGAGAGGATTTTACTAGCAACGATTGATGTGTCTAGCTTATACACAATAATCCTACACAATGATGGTATACTAGCAATCAAGGAAGTTCTACAGAATTTTACTGAGTGGGTGAATCCCCCTCTGGAGTATATACTGGAACTTTTGAAGCTATGCGTCACTTTGAATTATTTTAGATTTTAAATAAAATTCTATATACAACAGACAGGAACTTCAATGGGGGATCCTATGGCCCCCATGTATGCAAACGCATACATGTTTGTTTTTGAGCAACAACAGATCCTTGGGCCTTATGGAGAACATATATTACAATACCTCTGCTTTATAGAAGACATCCTTCTTCTATGGACTGGTGGATAGTGATGTCCCGAACGGTTCGCCGGTGAATAGTTCCTGGCGAACATCACTTGTTCACGTTCGCCACGGATTGCGAACATATACGCTGTTCGGTCCGCCCCCTATTCGTCATCATTGAGTAAACTTTGACCCTGTACCTCACAGTCAGCAGACACATTCCAGCCAATCAGCAGCAGACCCTCCCTCCCAGACCCTCCCATCTCCTGGACAGCATCCATTTTACATTCATTGTGAAGCTGCATTCTTAGTGAGAGGAGGGACAGTGTAGCTGCTGTTGATTTGATAGGGAAATTGATAGCTAGGCTAGTGTATTCAGTGTCCACTACAGTCCTGAAGGACTCATCTGATCTCTGCTGTAAGGACAGCACCCCAAAAAGCCCCAGTCTGCTTCTTTTTTTTCTGTGTAATGTAATTGCAGTTGCCTGCCTGCCAACCTGTGTGTCAGGCTCACAGCATATACTGTGCCCACTTGCCCAGTGCCACCACTCACTCACTGGTGTCACAATAGCTTGCATTTAAAAAAAAAACGAAACTTTTTTGACTGTAATATAATAGCAGTCAGTTTCCTTCACTAGTGTGCGTTTCAGGGCCTGCCCAGTGCCACCACTCACTCACTGGTGTCACAATAGCTTGCATTTAAAAAAAAACTAAACTTTTTGGACTGTAATATAATAGCAGTCAGTTTCCTTCACGCGTGTGTGTTTCAGGGCCTGCCAGGGCACAGTGTCACACCAGTGCAACTCATATCTGGTGTAACAGTAGTGTACATTTAAAAAATAAAATAAAATTTTGACTGTAATAGATTGAATAGCAGTTAGTTGTCTGCCAGCGTGTGTGTCAGGCTCACAGCGTATACTGTGCCCACTTGCCCAGTGCCACCACTCATATCCGGTGTCACAATAGCTTGCATTTAACAAAAAAAAAACATTTTGGACTGTAATATAATAGCAGTCAGTTTCCTTCACACGTGTGCGTTTCAGGGCCTGCCAGGGCACAGTGTCACACCAGTGCAACTCATTGAATAGCATTGAATAGCAGTTAGTTGTCTGCAAGCGTGTGTGTCAGGCCTACAGCGTCTACTCTGCCAACTTCTGCCACTGCACAGTGCCACTCATATATGTTGTCACAGTAGCTTGCACGCATAGAACCACTAATCGAAAAAAAAAATGACAGGCAGAGGCAGGCCACCCCGCAGGGGCCTTCGTGGTCGTGGTGCTGTGATTCCCTTTGGCCCTAGAATAATGCCCAGTGTTCAGAGGCCACGTACCCTGAACTCGAAAAGTTCTGAGGACATAGTTGACTGGCTAACACAGGACACTCAATCTTCTACAGCTTCAGCTCGGAACTTTGACGCACCATCCTCCTCCAGTTTAGCTTCAGGCACCTCTCAAGTTACCACTCGCCCGCCTGCCGCCACCACCAACACTAGCACCATAGCAGCTTCACTTGGTATGTCAGAGGAGTTATTTACACATCAGTTGGAAGAAATTAGTGAAGCGTAAACAATATTGCCAGAGGATGTAGATAACAGGGATATGTCTCAGTCAGGCAGCATTATACACATGGACGTACGGTGTGATGATGATGATGTTGTACCCGCTGCTGCTTCCTTTGCTGAGTTGTCAGATACAAATGAAGCGGTTGATGATGACGATGCGTCCGTGGATGTCACGTGGGTGCCCGCTAGAAGAGAAGAAGAACAGGGGGAAAGTTCAGATGGGGAGACAGAGAGGAGGAGGAGAGACGAGTTGGAAGCAGGGGGAGGTCGTCGCAAGGAGCTAGTGGCACAGTCAGACAGCATGCATCGGCACCCGGGGTCAGCCAGACAGCACGCCAATCAACGCATGCTGTTGCCACCACCAGAATGCCGTCATTGCAGAGCTCAGCAGTGTGGCATTTTTTTTGTGTGTCTGCCTCTGACAACAGCGATGCCATTTGCAACCTGTGCCAAAAGAAACTGATTCGTGGGAAGTCCAACACCCACCTAGGTACAACTGCTTTGCGAAGGCACATGATCGCACATCACAAACGTCTATGGGATCAACACAAGCAGCACACAAACTCAAAGCCGCCATCCTCCTCCTGGTCCAGCATCTTCAGCCACGTTAACCACTGCTGTCCTCCTTGCCCCCTCTCAACCATCCGCCCCTCCGTCTCTCGCCTTGAGCAGTTCCTGCTCATCTGCCCACAGTCAGGTGTCTGTCGAGGACATGTTTGAGCGTAAGAAGCCAATGTCACAAAGTCACCCCCTTGCCTGCCGTCTGACAGCTGGCTTGACTGAACTCTTAGCCCGCCAGCTTTTACCATACAAGCTGGTGGAGTCTGAGGCGTTAAAAAAATTGTAGCTATTGGGACACTGCTGTGGAAGGTACCTGGCCGAAATTTCTTTGCACAAAAGGCAATCCCCAACCTGTACTCGATTGTGCAAAAGGAAGTAATGGCATGTCTGGCACACAGTGTTGGGGCAACGGTCCATCTGACCACTGATACCTGGTCTGCAAAGCATGGTCAGGGCAGGTATATTACCTACACTCCACATTGGGTAAACCTGCTGATGGCTGCCAAGCATGGAATGCGTGGCTTTGCAGAGGAGTTGGTGACACCGCCACGACTTGCAGGCAAGCCTGCTGCCACCTCTACTCCTCCTACTCCATCTTCTTCCATAACCTCCTCGGCTGAGTCCTCTTCTGCTGCTGCGTCTTGCTCCCCATCAACAGCACCCCCCCCCAGCTCCCCAGGTACTATTCCACATCCCGGATATGGCAGTGTCACGCCGTCTTGGGGTTGACTTGCCTGAAAGCAGAGAGTCACACCGGACCAGCACTCCTGTCCGCCCTGAACGCACAGGTGGATCAGTGGCTGACTCTGCACCAACTGGAGATCGGCAAAGCGGTTTGTGATAACGGAAGAAATTTGTTGGCGGCATTGCATTTGGGCAAGTTGACACATGTGCCGAAAATGGCACATGTGTGTAATCTGATCGTACAACGCTTTGTGCATAAGTACCCAGGCTTACAGGATGTCCTGAAGCAGGCCAGGAAGGTGTGTGGCCATTTCAGGCATTCCTACACGGCCATGGCGCACTTTTCAGATATCCAGCGGCGAAAAAACATGCCAGTGAGGCGCTTGATTTGCGACAGCCTGACACGTTGGAATTCAACACTCCTAATGTTCGACCACCTGCTCCAACAAGAAAAAGCCGTTAATGAGTATTTGTATGACCGGGGTGCTAGGACAGCCTCTGCGGAGCTGGGAATTTTTTTGCCATGTTACTGGACGCTCATGCCCAATGCCTGTAGGCTCATGCGTCCTTTTGAGGAGGTGACAAACCTAGTCAGTCACACCAAAGGCACCATCAGCGACATCATACCATTTGTTTTCTTCCTGGAGCGTGCCCTGCGAAGAGTGCTGGATCAGGCCGTAGATGAGCATGAAGAGGAAGAGTTGTGGTCATCATCACCACCAGAAACAGCCTTATCAGCATCGCTTGCTGGACCTGCGGCAACGCTGGAAGAGGATTGTGAGGAAGAGGAGTCAGAGGAGGAATGTGGCTTTGAGGAGGAGGAGGAAGACCAACCACAACAGGCATCCCAGGGTGCTTGTTGTCACCTATCTGGTACCTGTGGTGTTGCAGCATTATACACATACCTGGGGGGAAGAACATACCTTCAGTAAGATCACTGAGGACGAGGAACAGGACATGAGTAGCTCGGCATCCAACCTTGTGCAAATGGGGTCTTTCATGCTGTCGTGCCTGTTGAGGGACCCTTGTATAAAAAGGCTGTGTCACGACACTCCTTAGCTGATTTGCCCTCGTGCAGTACTCATACTCACCACTGTTTCTGTTTGGCACTGTTCCTGATTTCTTTTCATTAAGCACTTCACCTGGTCCTTGTTTAGCACCTATTTAGTTTGGTTTCTCCCCTCACTCCTTGCCAGATCATTACTTTTGTTTCCTGTTTCCCTGGTCTCCTGTGTTCCTGGCTCCTGCTTACTGTGACTTGGTCCTGTGTCCTGCGTTCTCCTGGTCTTCATCCTGTGTCCTCCTGATCCTGCGTTTCTGTGTTCTCCTGGTCCTTCATTGCTGTGTCCTCCGATCCAGTGCTCTGATTCCGTGGCCTCTGACTCACTACCAGCGATCCTGTCCCTGCAGCCTTGCTGATTTATTCGTTCTTGTTGTCACTACATTAGTCTTGTGACTTTGGATCTGTGCCCTACCTGATAACCGTGGTAGCTGCACAATCCTACCCTAATACCAAAGGACTATTACAGTATTTGTTGCCTGCATGATTAGTACTAATTTTGATTTACTGTATATATTTAGTGGCCTTGTGTGTGTGTGTGTATATATTGTTTTGCATTTTCCTTTGGTTTTCTGTAAATATATAGCTCTTGATTTATCCTATTTATTTGTGTCTTGGCATTTATTTCTCTGCTGTATGGGTTCCCACATTTAAAGTGACAGTGCTGTTCCAGGGCAGCACCCCTTCATGTCATTACAGGCTGAAGGAGAACGACCTGTACTGGGTGTCCACGCTACTAGACCCCCGGTATAAGCACAAAGTGCCTGAAATGTTACCGAATTACGGCAAGTCGGAAAGGATGCAGCAGTTCCAAAATCAATTAAAAAGTATGCTTTACACAGCGTATAAGGGTGATGTCACAGCACAACGGGAATCTAACAGGGTAAGAGGTGAAAGTAATCCTCCTCCTCCCACGACCACGCCGGCAAGGACAGGACGCTTTACATACGTGTTGTTGATGGAGGACATGCAGAGCTTTTTAAGTCCTACGCATCACCACAGCCCTTCAGGGTCCACCCTCAGAGAACGACTCGACCAACAGGTGGAAGACTACCTCGCCTTAACTGCAGATATCGACACTCTGAGGAGCGATGAACCCCTTGACTACTGTGTGTGCAGGCTTGACCTGTGGCCTGAGCTATCCCAATTTGCGATAGAACTTCTGGCCTGCCCCGCTTCAAGTGTCCTGTCAGAAAGGACCTTCAGTGCAGCAGGAGGTATTGTCACTGAGAAGAGAAGTCGCCTAGGTCAAAAAAGTCTAGATTACCTCACCTTTATTAAGATGAATGAGGGATGGATCCCGAAGGGACTGACAGTGGGAGATACATTCGACTAAAAAAGGCCTGATGAGGGGGACGTAACAGGGTGTCGCGGCTGCCGGCCCGCCGCGTGATATTTAAATCCCTAGCTCACCCCAGTACCTTGCCCTGTCGTGGTTTCCTGTTCCTGGTTTCCTGAGAGTGCTTTATCATTGTGAATCTGTTTTCCTGGTATCCTGATCTTGGCTTTTCCCTGGTTATTCTGAATTCTGGTTTCCCTGACTTGGCTTGTGTAAACGGTATTGTGTATTTTCTGGCTTCCTTGACCTCGGCTTTCCCTTTGACCATTCTCTGTCTCTAGCGTATTAGTCCGGCCATTCTAAGGTCCGGTTTACGCTCTGTCCTTTTATTTTCCTTTTCTTGCCTATGTATATGTTTACATAGTTTCTGTGTGCTGGACCACACTAGTAGTCGTGACATTGGGATTAAACTGATAAGAATAGTACTACTTAACACACCACTCCTATCTGGTGGCACATTAGATTGCACGCGCAGTGCCCCAAATTTGAAGAAGGAGGACCGACCAAGCATCTTTTTCCATCTCCCGGTTCCTAAAATCGATGCCGTATACACGTCCCCTGATAGGGGACGTAACAGGGAATAAACTGATAAGAATAGCACTACTTGTAACGGATCACCTGGCACCCCGACTGGGTACCTCCGTTGAAGGATGCTCCTAGCACTTCCTGAGGACTCCAAGCGCTGCAGCAGACACCAAAACCACCGAACCATAGGAGCATATGAATGCTCTCAAGCATATGAATGTTGTATACAGCCGAATAGGAAAAACCATGCAAATAGGTTTACACTCCTAGCAGTCAAACTGGAACAGCATACAATAAATCCTCCCCCAATAATGAGACGACACTTCAATTTGAGGGTTAAGCAGGAACTCTCTGTACTGTCACATACAGTCTCTTTTATTCCCAATCCACAAACATAGTACAGCCCACAGGGTGTTACAAAACAACCAATCAATCTGTACAATACACCCAGACACTCCCACACAAAATCCTCCCCTCTGCCTGTGATATGATTACTGAACACAATGGGTAATCTCATTATCACCGGCAGAGGAATACAGTTTTTACACAATATTTATAACTTCTAAAATATACATGTCACAAACATAAAACATACATTTTCATAATCAATCCATTCAGGGGAACAACATATTAAAAAATGGCACGAATCAGACCAGGGGTTCAAAAGTTAAGGGAAAGTCCTTTGTGACTAAATGAAGCATGGCTTTCCGGCCCAAACCAGTTTCAGAGTCTTCTATCCTGGAGATTGAATTGAGAAGTAATTCAATTATCTCCCAGGACAGACACAAGACTCCATTATGCACATGGTGAGCACAAAGCATTAAAATATTATAAAATACACAAAGTCACATTTTATACATAAAACACAGACATGTCACATATCCCCAGATAGCTGGTATCTGAGCGCACAAAACTACCGAATAGTGCTCAGATTCTATTCACACAGTTCAATTGCCATGGAGCCGAAGTCTTTAACTACACGGATGGGCTCCATGGCATAGCTATCTGGGTTAACACATTCACATAAAGTCTGGTCCATAGTCAAAAGGCAAGAGGCGGGCAAGCAGCTCCCTCCAAGGACACGTGGCGAGGCCGGTTTCGCCACACTACTTAACACACCACTCCTATCTGGTGGCACATTAGATTGCACGCGCAGTGCCCCAAATTTGAAGAAGGAGGACCGACCAAGCATCTTTTTCCATCTCCCGGTTCCTAAAATCGATGCCATATACACGTCCCCTGATAGGGGATGTAACAGGGATTAAACTGATAGGAATAGTACTACTTAACACACCTTATAATAAGGCAGAGAGAGGCAACGCAGAGAGAGGAGTCTGAAGAAGAGGAGTCAGAGGAGGAAGGTGGCTTTGAGGAGGTGGACGACCAAACACAGCACGCGTCCCAGGGGTCACCTTTTAGGGACCCTTGGTGTTGTACGTGGCTGGGTGGAGGAAGAGACCTTCAATGACATCAGTGAGAACAAGGAACGGGACATGGCTAGCTTGGTATCCAACCGTGTGCAAATGGGGAGTTTGCGGTTGTGCAAATGGACTGTTTGCGGTGCGTTAAACGGGGAGTTTGGTCTGTCACTGTGAAGCGGGTGTAACCCTTACACCCTTACCCTTACATTGTATTGTAGATCTATCCCTTTTGTTCATATCATCATTGTATTGTAGATCTATCCCTTTTGTTCGTAACCCTTACACTACCTGATCCATACAACATCATACCTGATGTTTTAAAGCATGTTATTCCAAACAATTTAGGAATGTTAGGTGATTTATGCCCTTTATGGATTAAAACCAGACTCTGCATCAACTATGTAATTTTCCATGGGAGTTTTGCCATGGATCCCCCTCCGGCATGCCACAGTCCAGGTGTTAGTCCCCTCGAAACAACTTTTCCATCACTATTGTGGCCAGAAAGAGTCCCTGTGGGTTTTAAAATTCGCCTGCCTATTGAAGTCTATGGCGGTTCGCCCGGTTCGCGAACATTTGCGGAAGTTCGCGTTCACCAACCGAAAATTTTATGTTCGCGACATCACTATATATAAGGTATCCATCTCACATACACAATTGTCTTGAAAAAAGTATTTTACAGACTGAAACGTCGACTGGAACGTTGTGTAAATTTGTAATTGCTCAATAAAGCAACAGATTAAATTTACCTTGAAAGACTCCTGAGTGCTCTCTACTGGTATTGTGTGTGTATGTATATATATATATATATATATATATATATATATATATATATATATATATATATATATATATATATATATATATATAACTGAAGGATAATCCAAGATGCACTCTCAGGGCTTGTGCAAAAAATCTGTTTTATTTTAAATCATGTGCAAAAGGAAAAAACGAAAACCATTTTCGTTTTTTCCTTTTGCACATGATTTAAAATAAAACAGATTTTTTGCACAAGCCCTGAGAGTGCATCTTGGATTATCCTTCAGTTATATATGGAAAGCACACCATTTGCACCCAGGCGGATACAAGGGATTCCATTAAGGAGAGTGCCAAGCTACTTATTTATTATATATATATATATATATATATATATGTTTGTTAATTTATTAACATTAATTTAAATAATTTTTTTTTTTTAAATTAAAAACTTTTTAAAAACTTTTTCACCAGCAGGGGGACTGGCTGTCAGTTCAGGTAGTCCCCCTGCTGGCAGCACTATACACCTATTGTGGTCATGTGAGCGCTCTTTTAGAGCGGTCATATGGCCCCTGGGGGTCCTAAATTGCAGAGGGGGGACTGTCTGGGGTGAGCCCAGACAGTCCCCCTCAGAAGAAGACCAATCACCGACGGGGGAACGGTGGCAACCGGTAAGTACACGGG